TTTTTTTAGTTGTCCAGATCATTTCTTTCTATTTTTTAGTAGAGATGGGATCTCGCTCTTGCTCAGGCTGGTCTGAACTCCTGACCTTGAGCGATCCACCCGCCTCAGCCTCCCCGAGTGCTAGGATTACAGGCGTGAGCCACCGCGCCCGGCCCAGTAACAAAGAAATTTTTGTGCCTGAAGACTACCCTGAGCATGTATGTGGGGCTCCCTTACTAAGAAGGGTGATCTAGGAGATAAAAGGGACAGGTAGCTGCTCTGGAGCACAGGCTCACCTTGAAATGACACAGGCAGCTTGGCTCCTGGTAATTCCTGTTGTTTGTTTCAGCAGGTTTTACTGACGCAAGCTAGAGAGCAGTGAGGCAGGCAAGCCTTGCTAACCAAATAAATGTGCTGTCACCTCCGGGACATCACCAGTCAACTGGGGCCAGGATGTGCTCCTGAATCCCCTCAGAGACTGTCAGCCCCTAAAACAGTCTAGTTAGAATGATTGATGGGTTGAGCTAGTCACACAAACAAAAATATCCATGTGGTCTCCAACCAACTGCTGTTGCTTTCTAAGCCCCTTATTAATTCATAAACTCAATTCCAATGAATAATAAAATGACTTGCAGCTGAAGTCTCGCTCACACTGTGCTGAAACAACTTGGACACACAAGTAAATAAATCCTCTTTCAAAGCTCATTAAAGTTTCTAGAAAACATTCACTACATCAGCTAAGCTATTGCAGCCAATAAGCTTCAGGGAGTTCAATATTTAGAGGAATATTAAATATTTCAGGTCATTTGGAGGCAATTTAACAGATAATCCTCCAACTGGTGGGCAGTTTAGATATAAACATGGAAAGAATTTTGCATGTATAAGAGAGCTTAATAAATATTAAATAAATAAATGATCAGTGATTACAGTTCCTGGCGAATCCACAAACAACTATTCATTACCAAAGATTGCATTTACAATGAAAATAATAGAAAGCAATATTATTATTATTCTAGAAATAAATTTAAAAATGCAATTCAGTCAAAAAAATATGCATCATGAATCCAGGTACTGAGGAGAGATTTAGTTATAGAAAGAATTGAAAGTAGAGGAAGAGGAGAATGGATGGACAGGACTATTGGACGGTGGATTCTTGAAGTTGGATACTTCAGAAAGAATGGCACTGAATTTTTGAAAATATATTTTATCATGAAATATTTTAAATATAGAAAGCATAAACAATAGTGCAATGAACATCCATGTACTCACCATCTACTTTCGTCAAATGTTAACATTTTCATGGCATTATTTTTTATTATGTATTTTATTATATTTTACATTTTCAAAATATATGGCTTAAAAGTATCTTAATTGAGAATTGGTTAAATCAAAACATATCTAGGTATTGGAATATTCTGCAGTTATTTAAAAATCATGCATTAAGAGAATTTTCATTTAGGCTGGAAATTCTTAATTAGGATATGAAATCACATGTGTAACAATTTTGATTTCATTAAAATATAGGTATATGCAAATAAAAAAACAAGTGAAATGTACTGTAACAATGGTTACTTATCTTTGGGTGGTTGAATTATGGGTGATTTTTTTCATCTTTATACTTTTCTGTATTTTCCATAATTTCTTCAAGATCATTTAATCATTTTGAAAAATGTTAAGTATTTTTTTCCAAAGCAAAAAGAGATACTGTTTTTTTGCGTGTCATTAAGATGGTTCTTATGCACAGTGGCAGTAATGAGGGTAATGTTTTGGCTTCCAAGTGAAAGATTAAAAGCAGAGCAAGGGAGATAGAAAGATGAGAGATTTGACTGAGTTAACTCAGGGCTGGCCCAGGAAGCATTTTTATCTGTCCCTCTTCTTTAGAATGGTCCACTCCTTTTGAGGGGGCTGTTTCCCCACCTTCTACCTACATCCGACATTCATGGACATCTCCCTCACCCTGCCAGGGTGGCCTTTCCTTTCCTCCCTGCCAGCACCCAGTGGTGGCTGAGCGGTGCTGTGTGCTCACCGCATAGACAGGGAAGAGTTCCTTCGAGTTCAGGTCCCACTCGTTGACGTGGGAGCCGATCTGGACCCCAGGAAAGCCCAGCTCCTTCACACAGCGCTCCATCTCCTTGATGGCCAGCTCGGGGGCCTGCATGGGCAGTGTTCCCAGGCCCACAAACCTCCTGGGGTGGCTTGCAACGGTGGCAGCCAGGTCACTGTTTAAAAACTGGCACAGGTTTAAAGTGTCCTGAGGTTTGGCCTGGTGGTGACAAGAAAGGGAAAATCCGCATCATTAAAACCTTCTTTTTTAGATAGTTACTCTGAATAACACCTCCTCGTGGCTAAAATGTTCACTATTCTCAATGGCTTTACCATATCAGAAAACTGAGGCGCAGACTGAGTAAGGTACTGGCCACAGAAGACCCAGAAGCCAGTCTTTGTGAAAGCAAAGAAAACTGCCAGTATATTGCTGATTAATTTAAAAAAATTGAGGCTAGAATCAGAAGGGAAGGACACAATTACTGGATCTGGCATCCTTATGCCAGAGATGGAATGTGGATGGGCCACTGCCAACCTCAGAAAGATCCTGAACCCCTTACCCCCAGGAGGCTGGGCGTGGCCAAGGGTTCATTGGCCCCTCCTGTCCCTGCCTGTCCTCCTCCCTGTCCTTCCTGTTGGCTGTGACATTCAGGGCTGTCCTTAGCAAAATGCTGAGGCAAAGTTTGCTTTTGGTTCCCCTACCTTTCCCTTCATCACTGTTTTCTTTTCTTTCAACATCACCCCACTGCCCCCAGCACTGCCAGGACTTTGGTACCCTCCTGCAGTCCCAGTTGTGCAGTCAGAGTGCTACCCAATCTGATAAGTGCAGGTACATTGAGGTGTGAGGGTGTTTTAAGTAGTGAATCTAATCACAAGAACACATAAGGACTGAATCCCTCTCTGAATCACTCTCTAATATAGTGTTTATGAATACGGGTTGAGGAAGTAAGTGTGAGCAGGTGGTATTTCCATTGCTCCTTAAATCACAACAAGAGTGAATATCTGCTTGATTGAGCAGGTACTTGGTGCACTCCCAGCTATGTACAAAAATTTCCCTCCCTGGGCTCGAATTCATGCCTGAAACTTTTAGGGCTTAAGATTTGTTCACTTGGGGAAGGGAATCCAACTTCAGGACTCCCCTTCTGAATTATGTGTATATTGCCCTGGGAGAGGTAACATATGGCCATGAGTATCATTCTTACCTCAAAATCATTCTCGCCCCAGAACACACTGGCTCATCAGTTCCGCAGCAAGGCATTCAGGAATGAGTCACCAGACAGGCAAGTTCTGGTGGAAACTGAGGCTGGTCTAGAACCGCACCGTCCAGTGGAACAATAATGCGAGTCACATAGCCACATGTGACTACTGACTACTGTACTGGAGCAAGGACATGGCTAAGAGGGCAGGCCTGGGAGAGGACACTGCAGGAGGGGAGGCTGAGGGACCCTTCCGATCTCTACGGAGGAGGGCAGTTGGGGGGGTGCTCAGTGGGACCAGTGTTCAGACTTGCATCTGTTTCTTGCCGGGGAGCTGGATGCGAGCCTTTACCACCAAGGAGATTGTTTGAGGTTTCACACTCACCCAGTAGCTAAACATGACAGGGACGGTGGAAAGGGCTTGCACCGTTACTCCTAGACACAGACACAAAGAAAGGCAAAGCTGGTGAGAGGCGTGGCCTGGGAACTCCGGCCTTTCCCGAGGCCAGGCAGCCACAAGCCTCCACCCCAGACCCCTCCTGCTCTCCCTCCTTTGTTGCTCCTCCCTGCATCCCTTCTCTCAAGGCCCTTCCCCAGGCCCCCTGATTCCTCAGCCTCAGGTTCTAGGGAGAGAGGTAAAGGTTGGACAAAAGTGAGATCATTCAAGGAAAACGAACTGATCCCATCTTCCAAGGGTTATTTCTACCTTGCTTCCCGTGAAATTTTATTTAAGCAAGACTCTTTCAGGGTTTTCCATCTTAGGTCATGCATAGCAGAGTGTATCTCTGAGCCACCTTCCCTGCCCCTCTAATTTAGCTCCTAAGTGAGCCTAGCTGGAGTCCCACGGTCTGGAATACCAAGAATGGGACTCCGAGTTTGAATCCTGATTCCTGGATACCGAGAATTGTTTTTCTTCAAGAGCACCTACCTCCTAGGGATGTTGTAGGGATTAAATGAGTTAATACATGTTAGGTGCTTAGAATAGTGCCAGGCACAAAGTAAATGCTCAGGAAGGGTTAGTCAGGACTGTTCTCTCAAGAACAGCCGTGGAATGAAAGACCAACACAACAAAAATGAAAGGGGACACATGTACTTCATCTACACTGCAGCCCTAAGCAGTGGTTTCTGACACCAATCATTCAAGCCTCATTCCCATTCGTTTTCTCCATGAAAGGGTGGGCCCTTGCTCTAGCTTCACATTTACAACAAAACCCTGCTGTTTGCTGTAGTCTGGGAAACATGTTCTTTCTCCAGCTCCTCTTCCACCCCAATATACTTTGAGAACAGGGGTATATATGCTATGTTCTGTGTTTTAGAACAGGGGTATATATGCTATGTTCTCTTCCCTCCCCCAGGGAAGCTGGAACAGCATGTCCTGGCAGAGAACAGGGGTCAGAAGTTACCATTACACAAAGTTAACAAATTTTAAGGGTAGATACTGCTTTTACATCAGATGAAAACATTTCTCATTGTAAGTACCTTTTTGGTCCATTTCTCTAATTCGAACTTCTGGATCCCAGCAGTTCTCTTGGACCACTCTGAAGACTTTCCCATCTTTCAGCATCTTTGCTTCTCCCTGAGGCAAAAAATCTCACATTAAGCAAGGCAACCTAAGCCCATTTGAACTAGTCTTTCCTTATATGCTTTGGAAAATGTTTCTTCCCTTACATTTTTAGGGATTTTTACTTAATCCATGCAGAAGTAGGAATCTGTTCATTTAACAAAATTCAGCTTTCCTTTCTCATGGTTTTCTCTGGCCTCGAGTTGAAGGGGTGTGCTCTGTGGGTGTCAGTGCTTGGACACAGAGATAGCAAGGTGACAGTCATGCCTTTCTGGGCTGTATGACCAAGGACAGCTCATCACCTTGCAATCTGAACCACTGGCTACTAGACCCAAGGGAGTGGCCCATTGTCTGGAAAACATTAGATGTATAACATGTTAGAATTGGAAAGAACCTTGGAGATAGATTGTTTAGTCCAACCCTCTTGTTTTATAGAGAAGCAACATATGGATGGTGAGAGTAAGTGATTTGTCCGACAGAGCAGCGCCCACTGATGTCAACACCTGTGGGAGGAGGTGAGCAATGAAGTCAGTCAGTCTAGCAGCACGTGCAAAATTTGGAGCTGAGTTGTTCACTTCCACCGGGCATCATGCCTGCCTATATACACTAAAATAATTTTTATACATTTTTAAAAAGCGACAAATAAAAATTATATATATTTATGGTGTACAACACGGTGTTTTGATATATGTATACATTGTGGAATGCCTATATCAAACTAATTAACATATTTGTTACTTTACATATTTTTTGAGGTGAGAACACTTAAAATCTATTCTCTTAGCAATTTGCAAGTATACAATACATTGTTTTTAACCACAGTCGCCATATTGTACAATAGATCTCCTGAACTTATTCCTCCTAACTGAAACTTTGTATTCTTTGGTTCTCTCCCCATTCCTTCCCCACCTTTTGGCCCCTGGTAACCACAGTTTTGCTTGCCGCTTCCACATATAGGTGAGATGATGCAGTGTTTATCTTTCTATGCCCGGCTTATTTCACTTTAACATAATGTCCTCCTCCAGTTTCATTCATGTTGTTACGAATGGTATTAATAGGATTTCCTTCTCAAATTTGGCAAAGAAGGGAGCGAATGGGGTGACAGTGAAAGAGAAAAAGTTGGGAAACAACTTTTATTTGTCAAATGAGAGGTTTTATTTTTCTTCTGCTCCTTACTTAGAAAGCTTAATCACCATGAAATTCCCAGTATAGCAGAGTGCCAAAGAGCATGGTCTTTGCATTCAGATAGACCTGGGTTTAGATCTCACTAAATGACTTACTAGCAGTATAACTAGTTATGGGGCCTCCAAGTTTAAGCTTCACTTTTTCTGACATTGTACTTGTGCTTGGCCACCCAACATCTTTGGAACACATCCTAAGCATGAAGAAATATTCACATTATGATTCTGCCTTCCTGAGCTATAATCCAAAATTTGCTTTCCCGTTCTCCCTTGTAGCAGCTGGGCATGGCATGTGCTCTTGGCTCTGTCAGTCAGATGCACCCACCTGTGACTTCGATTTGAAAGTGAGCAATGTGAGGAAAGCAGGGGTTGGGCAGAATCAACCTGTAGACAAGGGTGTTGTCTAAGGTGTCAGAGGTGACTGAAGCAGCAGTGGCAAAGCTTCTGGGTGCCAATTTCAGCAGCGTCGGCGTGAGCATCCTGTTAGTGACCAGGAGTGGTGACACTTGCCTCGTTGCTGGAGCAGCTCACCAAGTGTGATGTGGGCATTGCTGTGTTAGCCCAGCCTCTGAGCTTCATCTCTGGCCCTCCCAGGAAGTCTGTGAGCTCCTTTTCTAATTAAACTAGCTAGAGTGGATTCTGTTGTTTGTAATTAAGAACACTGAGTGATACTGAAGATTCAATAATAGAATGTTTGTAAAGAACTTAGCACCAAGCAGGAGAGCATGCTCAATAATGGCCAGATATTATTGATACCATTATTAATAACATACATTACCAACTGCAAGGGAGGAAATCAAGTTTCTCTGGGAGATGCCTGAATAAGTTTTCATTTTGGACAAAGCAGAGTATTTTAAAGCTGGAATGGATCATTTAGTTTAATGCTTGCATTTCACCAAGGAGTCCATGAGGTGTGGTGATTTGTCCAAAGCACATACTAAGTTGGTATAGAGCTGAGACAAGAACCCAGGTTTATGAAGCCATTTTCCATCCTGCCAGGCTGATATTTGGCAATTGGTGTAGGCAAAAGTTAATTACTATAATATCCTAAGGAGTTTGATCTTCTTTTGGGGGTGGTGGTGACCCTCATTACATGGCAAGAGAATCAGACTCACTGAACTTCTCTCTTCATATCCTTCATGCTGGATCCATGGTAAGAAAACTGAATGATAGCCACTGTTAGCGGAACTCTTTCTGAGTGGAAATTGCCACAGAGCAGCTGTGCTCCTATGAAAGACCCCAATTCTCATTGGTTTTTCAGCCTGACAGCCATTGTAAAGAATCAGTCCTTATCCCTCTCACTTTACATCCAGGAATCCAGCATCACTGCTGGGCTATCCCCGTGCCTCAGAGGTCGGCAGCTGCTGCTGTGGGAGGAGATGGGGAGTTTCTTAGGTCCTAGTTTTTAACATGGACCTCAGTATCAACCAAGATCTTAAACTCAATTAATAATGAAGTAATTGGAGCAAACTGCTCTAATTTATGCAACCAGAGCCCAATCCCATTTTTTTCCTAAACTCTCCAAAGAAAACCAAGGTTTTTATTAAGTTAAAGAATTCCCCCAAGCAACCATCACTGTCCAAATAACCCATTTTAAATACATCTCTAATATTTTTAAAGCCAAACTCCATTTTGGGGCCTAAACCCCTAAATCCTTCAAGGAGTCTTCTGCCCTCCTCTCTGGCTTCCTACTGCTTTGCTCCCCAAACTCTTATCTGCTTCTATCCATTCTCCGCAAAGCAGGCAAAGTGGTCTTTTAATGCCATTAAGACCCTCCAGAGAATTTCCGCTGCCTTGTGAGCACCGTGCAGCGTCCTTAGCACGTCCCGCAGGCCCTCCGTGGTCCTGCCCCTGCCTATCTCTCGCGTGCCTGTTTCCCACCGCCTCCCCCTTTCCCTGCTTGTCAGCCACTTGTCCTCCTTTCTGTTCCCTGGACGCATCCGTGCCCCTCAGCGCCTGGCGCAAAGGCGGTCCCCACCCGATCAGGCTGCACTGGGTCAACCCTGCGCATTAACTGTGTCTCCAGACCACGAGTCCTCCGGGGCCTGCCTTAGTCGTGTCTGTGTTCCGGCTGGAAGCTCAGGAATGTTCCCTCTGAGTTCTGACTGGGCATACGATGCCTCCGAAAATGAAGGCAGACCTGAGCTCTGCGCAGACCTAGACCCTGGCTCCCTCGCAGGCCTCAGTATTTGCAGAATGCTTCACCCCTCCAGCCTTTCTCTCCCCTCTTTTTCCTCTTATCAAACTCAGCCCTTCATAACAGTGGCTTCTCCCCTTTGTCTCCAGTGTTTAATTTCTCCAGCTTGTGCTCAAACCTAACTCTTCCGTTTTTTTAAGTCAGCCTTACACTACTGTGATAACCTGTGGAGAGGACCAGGTCGCTTCCTTGAGGCAGAGCAATAGATGCTCAAATTGGTTCCAGGGCAAAAAAAAAAAGAGAGAGAGAGAGAGAGAGAAATAGAGATAAAGATTTCCCTAATGGATTCTCAAATTCTAGTTTTATTTTCCTGGTGCTCTTTGAAGTCACCCCCATTTTTCCTAATTATTCTGAGAAATCTCAGTGCTGCCCCCTTGCCTACTGCAGTGTTAACGGGGGGGGGGGGGCTAGGGGGGACAGGAGAGTTGGGTTCCCGGAGGCCCTGCCTGCAGTGAGCCATCCCAGGGTTCAGGATGCCCCTGGTCCTGCCCACGCTCGCGCTTTGTGACGCACTCACCTTGCCATGGTGTTGGAGCTGCACCCAGCCGCCATAGCCGAACCTCTGCAGTGGGGAGAAGCACAGTTAGGCTTGAAGAGCAGAGAGGACTGCACTCAAGGGCACCCTTAGGGCAAAGGGTCCCAGCTCCTTCTTTTTGAAGCATCACCTTGCCATTTTCCCTCATACCCATGTATCATTTATTCAATATGTATTTTTAAAGTATTTTACTTTTTTCCCTTAAATGTATTTATGCAGGAAAAAAATTCCGTATCTCAGAAGTTCTGGTTTTATTCTTTTCTCCTAATACAGTTGGAAATTTATAAAAAAATTAACGTTAAAAAATATTGGTTCATGTACCACCTAAAATCATTTCAGGTACCACCAAGTGTACACTGCCCATAAAGACCACTCTTTAGGAAATACATTACTCTTCAAACTCCGGGTGGCAACCCATGAATAGATCGTGACATCAGTTTAGTGGATAGGGACCCAGACATTCTAAAAACATGAAATAGCATGTGTAGCAGATGCTGTGGTTGTCCCACTTGTAGTCACTCCCTCTGACACTTCTGTGCACACTGGCCCACTTCCAGCTGCCAGCACCTGCATTTCTTTGATTGAGGGCCTCCCTTTTGATCCTGGAATCTGCCGTGATGAAGCCCTGCTAGCAGGTCAGAAGTACCAGGAAATCAGCCTCTGCCTCTCCCTCCACCCAGCCGCTCTCAACAGATGATTGAGGTTGTTGTACATAAATTCACTGAGGATCACTGTGAGGGAGGCACACCTTCCACACTGGCTACCAAACCGTTCACTGGCTGCCTTGTTTTTCCTGTCTCACTTCCCCCCTTCACTGGTGTTTCCCGGGATCATCTCTGAAGTAAACATACTTGTATTTGAATCCTTGTCTCAGGATCTGGTTTCTTGGAAAACACACAGTAAGATAGCAAAGGAATGGAATGGAATAGAATAGAATGGCACCCATGTGGTTAGCATTGGTTTCATGAAACGTTTTTTTCCATTTTATATACACAAATATTTGTACTGAGTCTCCTTATAAAATATATTTCTTCCTGGGGAGTCATGAATAAAAAGTTTTGAAAGCTACTGTCTAAGAGCCTAAGAACGTAGATATATGTAACTATTTGTTTTATCATATCGTATCATTCATTCATTTACCCTTCAAGCTTTCCTGGAGTCTATTCTATGACCAGTCTGACTGGGGCAGGGAAAATAAAAGTGAAACACGGTTCCAGCCTGTGTGGAGCGGGGTCTTGAGAGGGTGGGGCTGGGGTCGACAAGGACTTACAGAGCTTCAGGAACCGTGAGACACACCGTGACTGACGTGCAAGGGCTCCGGGAGCCTGGAGGAGGGTGCTGACCCACACCTTGGGTTGGGGTGTCAGGAAGGGAGGTTGAAAAGGTAGTCTGGGATCAGATCGGAGAGGATCTTCTGGTGTCCAGGATTTCCATGCTCCCTGGCATAGCTCTTTTAGTGAGATGTGAGAGAGGAAGGAGTGGAGGCAGGAGATGACCCGTGAAGAAGCTCCCTGACGGCTCTGAGTCCTGCAGCAGTGATGCGTTGTGGAGTGAAGCAAGCAGAATCTCAGCTCAACTTCTTACATGTTGCGGTTGGGTGAGGCCAGGGTGCGGTGGTTGGTTCTCAAGTCATGGCACAGGGGAGTTGTCTGGAGGGAGTCAGGTCTTGGTGGGTCCCTCTTCCTAGCTCCCCTCTCACCTCTAGACTGAGTGGGACACTCTGGGCCTGGACCCTGGCGCAGCCTAGGGGTGCTGTGTGTCCCCGTGTCTGTGACTGGGGTCTGCCTCAACAGGCTTCTCAAGAGTTGGATTAATTCTATACCAGTCTTATTCTACCCAGATATAAGGTCTCTTCTTGAGTTCTAGCTCCAAATAATCATATTAACTCTGGAAATCTATCTGCTTGCTTCCGAGTGCCACCGGCGGACCCCATTTTACAGGCTTCTCCCTGCATCCGACCTCTCCCCTGCCTGTGCCCCCAGCCCTACTTCCCTCCCTTCGTGCATTCGGTACCCTGTACTCTTCCCTTCTCTCTCCCTGGAAAATGTGTATGTTAAAGGAGGGGACAGAACATGACCTTAATCAATTATACTTCAGAGTAAAGTTAAGGCCGTGTGCTCTCCAACTGGAAACTTGCCTTTGACATTTTATCCTTAATGTAGAGGAAAATATTTTATTTCCTTCTTTCCTGATTGCCTGCTTTTTTCTCTTTCTTCCTCTTTTCCTTCCTGCTTCATTCTCTTTCTTTATTGCTTTTCTCAATTCTCTAAGGAACTTTAATCCATATGTTAGCAGATTAGAGAAGTATTCCATCTGGGGAAGGGCAGAGAGGGGGAGGTAGAGGGAGGCAGAGCAGAGGGATCCTGTCACACGCGACAAATCACTTGCAAGGTACTTGCCTGCGTTGGAGTGAGACATCTTTAAGTCACTACTTCCTTATGTGTAAAGTGAGGGGAAGAGGAGCAGCTGAGTCATAAGGTTTTTTGGGAATTAACTGAGATGATGCATATGAACCTATTGACACCAGGCCCGGTTTATAGAAAGGGCTTCAACGATGGTAACGATGATGACGGTGATGACAGTGGCGATGGCAGTGGTGGCAATGCAATGGTGGAGGTAGGGAGGTGGAGGTGGGGTGGTGATGGTGGTGGTGAGTACAGTGGCAGTGATGGTATCGGTGGTGGTGGTGGTGGTGGCAGTGACAGCCAGGGTGATGGCCACAGCAGTGGTGGTGGTTGGTGGCAGGCAGGGATGGCAGTGGGAGTGACAGTAGTGGTGACAGCCTTATTTCACCCCTGGGTGGAATACCCTGGGGTCAGACACTAAGGAGAGCTGTAGGAAGGAGCCTTTTGTCACACTGTGTTCTTCCCTCTTTTTCCCAAAGAGTGTAAAGTGCTCAAGTTGCCCCATAGGCCCCTTCCAAAGACCTAACCTATTTAGGGCAATTTTATTCTGCTCCAGGTCTGGGCTCCACACAGTCCCCTGCTCTCATCCTAGGTTGAGTCAAGCCTGGGGTCTAAAATTTATGACCTTGGGAGTGGTTTTGGTCAGAGCATACGCCAAGAGGCATTTACAATCCAAAAGTGTTTGAGTGACAATCACCAGTGTCCCACAGGCATTTTCGGGCATGCCAGATAAAAAGAAAATTTAAAACATTCAAGGGAATTCAATTTTATATACAAGAGATGTGTTTCTGAAATGGGCATATATGAATTCGAGTGGATGAACTAAATGACATTTTTAATGTCTTGGGGACCTCACACCTTCATGAGGTTAATAGTGAGCCTCCTGGGTGACGAAACCGGGTATCTATTTCCTTAGGAGGGTTTAAGTCAATTTATGCCTGGGATTTTGTCTTCTGAAACCTTAAAATGATCAAGTGAAATTAAATCATTGCTAACAAAAGAAGATGTAAATATATGATTTTTTTATTAAAGTCCAGAATTATTTTTACCCCATTTAAAATTGGAAGAATCTTTGTAAGCCCTACTGTTGGGCACATAGTAGGTGGTCAGTAAAGCCTTGCTGAAGGAAAAAGCTGAAACCTTATCATCGTCCTTGTTGCTATGGATAACCCATTGTAGATCAAGCTGAAACATCTTTCAGTGTGGCCTCTTGGGCCCTGATCCTCCTCTTTGTGACAACAGAGAGTGTGGGTCCTGATTTATCAGAAACAATTTAATCAAGTGTCCTGAATCCACTGTCTTTCCACTTCAGATAGATTTTTTTCAAGGATCTTAATTGTAACTCTGAGTAAAGTCATTATTAGCAAGTGAAAATGAAAAGATTTCTCAAGTCCCAGTCCTCTGTACTCATCAGTTAATCATCACCCTAGGCATGTTGGTACTGCTTTTCTACTTCTTCATTGTAAAAGAAGGTCAAGGCTATTCCCACAGCAGTATTTTCTTTGGCCAGTTTTCTCAAGGTGACTGTGGCGGTGCTCTGGAGGGACCACCGTGCCCCACATAGCTCTAGGATTCTGGGTTCATTTCTGAGTCTCAAGCAACTCCTCTGTCCAGTTAATAATATAAATCTTAATCTGCACAAGGTTTTATGTGAATTAAATTATTTCTCTTTCTCTGTAAGTACAAAGTATTATTACTGTTATTATAATAATGATGAAGAAGTACATTAGCTGTCTGCTTGCAGCATGTAAGACTTCTGGGAAGAAGCAGCCTGGTTTATTGGGACAAAATACCCCTCCCTCTTTGAAGGCAATAGCTGGAGATCGGAAAAGGGAGGCCAGCTACAGAGCCAGCAGCTCGTGAGTTTGGGGAGTTTCCAGGGGATACATCTATGGCTGTCCTCACGCTTTGTATCTCTCAGTTTCCAAAGCAATTTTAACAATGCCATTCGGGCCCTGCATGAGGTGGGCACCTAGAAAATCTCATGGTGACCAGTTCTCTGCTCAAACCGAGGGCAGCCTTGGGGTGGGAGGCAGGGAATGGGATGTGAGGCTGTGGCACAGGACACTGGATAGAAAGTTTTCTCCTCTCAGCAAAGAGGAGGCATCATTTTAGGTCCCTTTGGGTCTTCCAGGTGGGGAAGCCTCAGGATGTATGAAAGATGCCTTTATACTTGTGGCTTATTTGGGAACAGCTTCCAGCACCCAAAAGGAATGGCTCACTGGGGCCCAGGTTTAGTGGGAAGGTGACCATTCTTCCAAGGAGTCTGAAGATTAAAAGAGTGTGTTCCCCAGGAACAGGGTATTTCTCTTAGATGGTGGCTTAAATCAGTTTGGCGGTTTCTGAAGCCTGGGTTTAAGGCTGAATTCCACGTTGAGAATGCAACAAGAATAGTTAGAACAGCCAGCCAGGGTCTTCTTTGTATGATGTACCTTATACCTGCCTGTGGGAGGAACTGAAAAATCTTTCTTTTATCAGTGAAAACATCTTAACTATGACTGGCTTGCTCTTTGCCTTAGTCCACCCGGTTGCTATAGCAAAATACCATACATTGGGTAGCTTATAAAAAACAGAAATTTATTTCTCACAGTTCTGGAGGCTGGGTAGTCCAAGATCTGGTGAGCACCTGCTTTCCAGTTTTAGAGGGCACCTTCTAGCTGTGTCCTCTCATGGTGGAGCGAGGCAAACAAGCTTCCTGGGGCCTATTTTATAGGGGCATTAATCTCTTGGCAGGGAGTCATGTTGGCCACCTCTGTGTGGAGGGGGAGAGTACAGGCGGGCAGTGTCCTCTAGAGACTACCATGGTAGTTCCCAAAGCATTTCATGTGGATGTTCTCTGATACTCAAACAGAGAGAAAAGCTGTAATATTGGAGTCAATGCTATTTTCTGGGGATAGAACAAGGGCTATTGTAAAATATTAATACCAAATGCTAAAATCTGGATTTTTCTAAAACTCTTAGATTAGGTAGTATAGTCTATTTCTTCCAATGCCCGTATCGTAAATTAATTTATTCATTGCATAATTCAGCAGGCAAATACTCATGAATGATGGGTAGAAAATGGTGAGCACTATAAGATATAAGAAACTGCATGCAGCTTCCAAACCAGCCAGATGTACTTCCCTGAAGTAACTGGTGCATCCGCTTCATACAATTATTACCATTGTGAAGTTACTCTTTAATAAAACATGACCAGGACAACAACATTGAGAACAGCATATTCCCACATAAGCATTTAAACTCCTTTTAGGGGCAGAGTAGCTTTGTAGGTTTTGCTTTTACCATTAGCTGTAATAGCATAAGCTTTCAAAGATGGTTCAGCATCACCTGTAGTTTTCAATCTATAGTTTCTACACCCATCTCAAAGAAACCCTTAAGATGAACATTCTTCCAGGAGACAATGATGAAAAAAAAAATAGTTTCCTCTACTTGCACAATGAACTACATTTTAATTCCAGTTTGAGTTAATTTATTTTTCCTCACTTCAAAAGATAAAACATTTTAAGTGGTGTGAACATACTAGAAGACTGCTAAAGATTGGGTAAAACCTGATATTAATTGTGAACAAACCTCTAACCAATTTTAAATTTCTTTCATGTTCCCCACCTTCCTCTTTTAGAATCCATTCAAAAGTCCTTAATGACACAAAGAAATTTCCATCTTTAGAGAAACACAGAGAATATACTTTAGAAATAGTCATTGTACAAAGGCTTCATGTCATTTAGTCTAGGGTATTTTTTGATATGCCTGCTACCTAGCTCTTCATGACAAGGATTTACAGCTTAAAGAACATCAAAAAGGAAAGATTTCAGTGTCCTAAAATAGACTAAAAATTTTTCACGAAGCTATCTCTTCGTGCTTTTAAAACTTACTTTAAACATTTTTGAAAGGAGATATATTTTAGAAGTCCTTGAAATCTATCACATTCCATGTTTTAGTAGTCTTCTAGTTGAAAATGTAACTTTAAATTCTATAGTTCGCATGTATCTTCCCAGCAGCTGAATACGTGATTTTCAAAAGGTAAATCTGCCTGACTTAAATTGTCCAGAAATTTTAAAGAATGCTTCATTTGAGGGGGAGAAAAGGATTTTGAGAAATCACTTATTTCTTTAATCCAATGTTCTTTCAAAATAAACATAAAAGTCATTTTTAAAAACTAGAAAATCAGATCTACCAAATAATTTAAAATCAATTCCAAAGCAGAGAAACTTAATATCCAACTCCCCGCAAAAGAGAAAGGCCTATAATGGAGGCATTGAGAATCCCTGGAGAAGTTTCAGAAATAATTCAGCAAATTAATTACCATTACCTTTTTCAGATCTGGCCATTCTTTTGGTAGAATATGACTATGGATATCAATTTTCATCTTCACAGGACAAGAGAAGTATATAAGGAAAGAAGTTTTGATATCAAGAGGTCTCTATGAAAACCATGGAGTTAAATGACTTACTCAGTCCCCTTCTAGCCAGTTAGCCCAGCCTGCCCAGCCCTGTCTGGGTCTGTTGGAACTGCTAATTAAAGTTCAATTTCTGTTTATTTGTTAACCAGGTTTTGTGTCAGCACTCTTTGGTAGTCAGGACTCTGGGCAAAAAAACTTAAAAAAAAAAAAAAGGGACTGTACTCAACCCTTTGAGGTCAAAAGCACAGCAGGCTGCTTTGAGTTACAGCAGGCCAAAAATTGACTAAGTTTTCTTTTAAAAATTCCATTTTTTTATCAAAATACACATAGTTAAAAATC